TGCTGACAACTCACCAATCATCTTGAGCCTTCCGATTCTATCCATGAGCAGGGCAGAAATGATGTTTCCGGGTAAGACAGACAGGCTGCCCAGGAAGCTGACGAGGTAAATCAGGAAGTCATTATCTTGCTCCAAGTCCATGTGGCAGCCCTCCTTCTGCTCCAGAAAGGTGGAGTTGATAAACCGACAGTTGATGAACTTATGCTCGTAGAGGTCTAGGGAGAGAAGGAAACCTTCGGTTCATGTAAGTGCAAGGGAGCTGGAGAGAGAAAGGCAGAGGCAGGGATGACGTCTGCCCCCTCCCGTAGGCAGGCTGTGGTAGCCTTTGCCAGTCAGACAGCCTCAAAGTCAAGGTAATATGTGGTCAGGTCATCAAGGTATGGATGAATAGAGAAACTTTCAAAAATGTAATGACCTGTTCAAGTTCCTAAAAGCAAGGGGAATTAAACTAACACTGAGAGACTCAAAAATGCATCCTCTCAGCCAGGTGTAGTGGCTCACATCTGTAATACAAGCACTTTAGGAGGCTGAGGTAGGAGGATCACTCGAGCTCAGGAGTTCAGGACCAGCCTGGGCAACATAGTGAGATCTTATCTCTACAAAAAATAAACAAATAAATAAATTTTTCTGTTAAATTAGCTAGGTGGGGTGGTATGTGCCTGTAGTCCCAGATACTCTGGCACCTGAGGCAGGAGGATCACTTGAGCCCAGGAGGTCAAGGCTACATTGAGCCATGGTCATGCCACTGCACTCCAGCCTGGGTAAAAGAGGGAGACCTTGTCTTAAAAAAAAAAAAAAAACCAGCTCTCCAGCTGGATAACAGTCCTGTTTGTACTAATCAGGTGACACTGAGACACTGAGGACCATGACAGCTAGGCCTCTCCTTGGAGGCTACCTGGCATAGGGAAGCAGAACATAAGAGAGTTGGTTCCAGATGGAGCCAGTCACTCCAGAGCCCCTGCTGTAGTCTGTGCCAAAACCTGAACATTCCTAAAAAATAAAAGCCATTTGCATTGGAACCAGTTTGCAAGTCTTCTAACACCTTCTAAGATCAGCTGTTCTGACAGAGGAAGTCCTAAACAGGCTCCCCAGAAACCTGCGTTTGAGGAACTGGCCCTGCTGTTGACCCTCTTTAACCTCCCTGAGGCTCTACCTAAAATATCTACAAAATTGGAAGAGTACACCTGATCATCTCCACTGCTCCTCCCAGCTCTGACATTTCCTGACTACATGTGTTTGCAAGAATCTCCATGATCAGAGTATTCAAATGAGGAGGCATCATTCAAACTTGAAATCATAAAACGATATGCCAGTTTTTAATGACACTTAGTAAACTTCTGGAACTCATCATTGTTTCAAGATCAGTCTAAAAGGAAACTCAGGAAGGTAAGTGCCAGAATGAATTATTAAGAGAGTCCAGAATATTTAGAGACCAGATATTGAAGCTCTTGAGGCTGATATCATAGAGGAAAAAGATGTTCTTATATAAACTATCCCTTGCTGCTGATGCCAAAAATAAAGCATAGATCTGGACATAATGCAAGTAGTTCTGTGGAAAGATTGCAGGTTTTAGAGCCAAATCATTGAGGAATGAATCCAAATTCCCTCCACTTGCTAACCATGGCCTTGAGCAAGTTGCTTAAGTCTTGATTTCCTTAACTTGGCTTCCTTAGCTATAAAAGAAGGATAAAAAAAATAGTACATTTCTCCATTGAGACAATGTAGGTAAAGCCCCCTAATGAAGCTCAGTTGGTTTCCTTATACCCCAACTTCACTTGGTATGTTATTAATTTATGATGAGGGTAGTAAAAGTAACAAGAAGTGGTGAAGTGGTAGAATTCTGTGACTTTTTAAATCACAGAAATCTGGAATAGTATGATTTTAAAATAGTCTTCGTATTTCACTTTATGCACAAAATGTGAACAGATGTAATTTTCCCTTTTCATTTATTATTGTGAGAACATGAGTCTTGCATTTTGCAAGTTTCAAATTATGCAAGGTCTTCAAGA